GCGTGGTGGGAGCACCATGGTGGCTCTTGGGAGCCTGGGACTGGGCCAGCAGTCTCAGACCCTGCTTGCAGTAGGGATGTTGCTACCATAAACATGTCTGAGCTGGTTCAGCCAGCCCCGATGGCATAAGATCTGCTGGCAGGACATGATCCTGACCATGTTTCCCATCCTCCAGATGCCAGTGACCCACAGGATAGCCACTGTCCCCAGGGAGGTGGCTGGAGATGCTGAGAAGCTGCATCCTGCACCACCAGCTGCTCATCCTGTTGCTCCATCTTCTGCCTCCCTGGGATATACCTGCCCTTTGCCTGCAGGCACAGGCAGAAAGCCTCTGGCAGTGGACCCTCTTACCTGTTTTGTAGTAGCCAGGCAGGACAAGGCTGACTTTGACCCCCCAGGGCTGGAGCTCACTGCGGAAGGTGTCCATGAGCAGGCTGAGGGCTGCCTTGGAGGCCCCATAGGCTGCCAGGCACGGGAAGGGCATGTCACCTGGCAGGGGTGAAAGGATGAGTGAGCAGCTGTTCAGGCAGGTGTCTGCCAGGGACTGGGGACTGACAGGGACTGGGGAACTTGCATAGAGCTGCAGTCGTGGTCTCTGCACAAGGAAAGGGCTTAGGGTTTGTTTTGCTGAAAAAACAAACTTGCTTCAAATTTATGTTTTCATGGGGGGGGGAAGTGGGGAGGGAAGAGGAAACTGGGTCTGCCTCCCCATCCAGCTAAAGCTTGGAGTCATCATCTGCAGTGGAGTATTAATGTGTTTTAATGGTTAAAAAAGGTGTGTGTGGGAAGAGGAAGCTGGTTTTCCCACCCTTGCCAGAGCTTTCATCACTGAAGGAGGTGCATGGCAGCTGGGCTTGTGTTGCCCATGCTGCCTACCTCCAGGCTGCTTGTCCCCAGGCCCCACAGCTCCCCTTTTCTGTGTGCCCGCCCTGGGGCTCAGCAATGCCTAGGCTGCCCAGAGCCAGCCTGATGCAGCTGGCTAGGAAAATGGAAGTACCCATGGGGTGTGAGCTCCACTGCACCACAGGGCTGATGGACCCATGCCCAGGCTGGGGGAGGCAGGCTGCTCACCTGCAGGGCTGCTCACAGTGACGATGCGGCCCCCGGCAGAGCGGAGCAGGGGCAGCAGCCCCTTGGTGAGCTCCAGTGAGCCAAAGAAGTTCACCTCCATGCAGGTGCGAAACTTGCCCAGCGGCGAGAGCTCGGCGTCGGCGATGGTGTCGTTGAAGCCAGCGTTGTTCACCAGGCCCCAGAGCCCTACAGGGATGGGACACTTGAAAAGGTGACTTGAATGGAGGACCCCCACCCTGGGGATCCCAGCTGCTCCCTGGCTCGTGGGGATCTTGCAGGGGAATTGCAGGGTCCCCTAGGACAAGCTCTTTTAGCAGAGGCTGTTGGCACAGGTGCCCACAGGGATGCAGCCCACTGTGGGGCACATGGAGGCTTGGCACTGCCATGCTGGCTGCCAGCTGAGTCCCAGAGGTGGAGTCCTGAGTGGGGGATGCCAATGGCTCCTACCTGTGCTGTTGGTGTGGGCCTGGATGTGCTGCAGGACACGCTGGATGTCATCTGGCTTGGTCAGGTCCATCTGCAGCAGTGTCAGCCTCGGCGAGCAGCTCCGGCTCAGCTCCTGAGCGCCAGGACTCTGCAGGTCCAGCACGCTGGCAAACACCTGAAAGCCCATGGTGTCCAAGTGCCGCGCTGTTGCCTGCCCAAAGCCCGAGTCACATCCTGCAAGAGA